CTGGCCATGGTAAATACTGCGCGGGGTTGGGGAGCGTGACGGAGATAAACGAAATCTGGGTGTTGATCATTATAGTTGGGGGTTTGGGAAAGTCAAGATGGCGCGAAAGAGGGGATATATGGAGTGTATATATTTCATCTGCGCATCGCTATAGACTGCGTTATAGAGAATAAAAACTCAAATAATAATGTATTTGTTTAAAAAAATGTTTCTTTGACTTCACGATGGTAATTTTTCCACAAAAATAGCCATATAGTGATCATCGAATTTTCCCAAGAAACTACAACCACAAAATGACACGATTTAGGACGTCAACCCTAGTTCTCTCATTATGTTCCGGCATTGGCAAATTTATTATATTCTTTGTCTCATTCTGTCAAGCTCTCGCCAATATGTCTGCTTTTTGGCGCTCTAGCCAACGCGACTACCTCGGTAACAATCCAAGAAAGCTCAGGTGCTACAGCGTCGAAAATGACGACAAAGACACCGGATACTGTGTCGACGATTTTTGAGCAATCAAAGGTGCTGAGCTCGCCTTGCTCAAATTCGAACGGTTACGAAGGAGTCGGTTTTATCAAATCACGCTTTTTTTTCTTTTACCTATGTTTCAAGCCACTGCTGTGCAGTCTCTTGAATGCTATCATAGAATTTTGTGTCCAAAAACCCATTCATATTGCAAAAGATATCACTTCCAGTAGCGGTGATTCATTCATCAGGACCTGCGAGTTTCTTAAGATCAAGCTTCTTTATCCAGTCGAAAGATTGGCAAATGATTCCCGAGGCACAGGCATAATGTTCATAAACGAATCGAGATGTTTAATAGAGTTGTATCCCGCATCGGTATTTGTTATAGTGACCTCACCATTCTCGGGTGTCTCTTTCTCAAGTCAAGTCGCGGTGCCAAGAGCTATAGTACATGCATCAGTTGGTTCTGTGATTAAGCGAATGGAATTTTAGATGCATGTATTTTGTTCCGACAATAAAGTTTTTTTGGCCTCAAAAAATTATGGGTCACCAGCAACTTTGACTGCCTTCTTCGAAGTCAGACTCCAGTCATATATCACACATTTTATAAATCAATATTTGCTACTATTGAACTTATTTTTAGAACGAGATTTACTACAATGATATACCTTTCTGGGAAAAATTACTGAAAAAATGTGTTTTTGATTTGAAATTCACCATATCAGTCACCGAGTTTGACGATTATTGTTCTATAATATGTTTTTATTCTAGTTATATTAAAGTTGTATTTGTCATACCTATTATGAATGAAGTTTCATGACTAAGTGTTCTCAAAACTCTATGACATGACTGGAATACGGGATTTTATGATAGAACGACTTAGTAATCCACCATTTTTGTGTCATTTATATCCAGATTTGATAATTTGAACTTGAAATTACTTGCGAGCGCCTTTGAATATACATTTTTCCTTGATTTAGTTATTCATTTCAGTGACTGATTCGAGTTCGAAGGTCGTCCAAAATGGGCTTAAGTAGGACCAAGTATCCCTCTTTGTTTTCTGCTTCTTTTCTTCATGCAATTCCAACCTACACTTAAAATACATACTACTATCGCCATCAAGTGTAGATAACTCTTCATCAATCTCAACACTTTACACATCCAGGGAACACTCGACAATCCTCTCATCAAACGTTCTATTATTATTTCTTCACAAACAACACAAATATTCTAGACATCTTTCTGCTGAATCTTTGTCGAATGGTTGCCAAATCCTCATAGGTCATTGATCCGATTTTACTAACCCTTCATAGCATTGCCGAACTCTCGGTTATTCCTTCATCAAAGCTTAAATAATGTCTATGCCGCCACCCCCAAAGTACAGTAGAAACGACAGATTTTTTAGAGAAACGTGGTCCAGCTATCTGAGAATGAGCCTCGGAACTCACTGGGATCAGCTGGCAGAAGAAATTGATGTGGTAACGATCATTAACGACGAACTCAAGGAACAAGAAAATGATACTAGGCACAGTACTAGTGCTAAAATCATGGCTATTTATAAGAGGTTTCCCAGACGCTCTCCATATCCAGATCATGATCGTGCTTTCATCATAGATAGGACTCGCGCTTATTATGCGAAAACTTAAAGGATTGGGGATTATCCCATAACCAACGAAAGAAAACTTCTCCAGGAGATCCATGAAGTGTGCGGTAGAAACTTTTCAATTGCCGACCTTGGCAGCTATTATTTGAAATACAAAGAACCGGAGTATGAGGACCCCATTCTGGAGGAGTGGTCGTCACATTGGAAAAAGGAGTTTGATAACAGTCGGTGTCGCGACGACGAGAGGCCGGATGTAGTCGCAAGACTCAAGCACTTCTTCAAAGTTATTTTTACGACGGACCATGCCGTTGAACTCTATTACAAGACACAAATTGAGCGTCCAAATAATGCAGGAAGAAATTACCCTCGTGTGCCAAGGCAGACTAAAGAAGAGTTTCAAGCGACGCAAAGATACAAAATGGCAAGTTAGATCAGAAATTTTCTTCAAAATAACATAAGCTAATCAAGACAGTATTACTAATATATATCATGTCTGAACGGAGATAGCTTAGTGGTAGCAGGGAGGAAAGTTGGGAATGCAATCTTCTTCCCACCATGGTATTTCTTTGTCACGAGTCTTTATCGTTGCTTTTTAGGTTCTCTTACATTCAATGTAATAGATTTTCACGTTTCATGTCGTTGCTTTTGAGATTCAGTGCTCGGGCTAGTATGTGCATGAATCCATATTCCCTTCTTAGGTGGGCTTCGGAAAGTTAAGGGTTGGATTGGAACATTGGCTAGATTTTATCAATGTCAGTGCCTGGATTGAACAATGGTATGAAAACTCACTACCGGAATCTAAATTGATGAATCAATGCTCATTGTCTGAAATTAAGTTAGACAAGGGAAATTTGTTGTTGAATGTGGACCTGGTCATTTGTGGGAATGCTCAATGTCAGAATCAAATTTGAACGTTGCACAAATCACAAATGTTTTCCAGACTAGCTTTGAATATTACTCAGCCAAGGTTTATGTCAGGCGTGGAAATTTAAGTGGCGCTATCTTAGTTGTTTCTCTCGAATCTAGACATTCGAATGCCATATGGAGCAGCGAAAATGTCACTTGTTCATGTTACATAGCGCACTTAGTTCCATTAAACTAATAAATTTAGACTGAGCGGTTCTGTACTAACAAACTTCTATGCTATACGATAAAATAAGAATCGACATTGTAAAACAAAACAATGGGCCAGTTGGTTGAGCATAGTCTATCCATCATGCTTCTTTAATCTTAGTGCATTCTAGTAACAATATAGAAGCTTTTGCGTCTTCGTCTCTGTTTCAAATTATCAATCGCAGTGTGATTTACAATATCCCACTGGCAACTTTGAAGCCTTCCAGTTAGCATTTAAGTTTTTTTCAAGGGAATGAATAGTAAAATCTCACTTGTTGATTAGAGCAAGAACCACCCTTCTGACAAGTTGCATCATCCGGAACAAGAGTTCGAGGATCCATCCATTGTGTTGGTTCCGAGCCTGGTGCTGCTGCCACGCTTATCGCTGCCCAGCCTGGGGCCCATTTTCTCTGCGAAGGTAGCCCGTTAATTCTTTTTTCCTTCATGTTTTCTTCCTTTGATCTCACTTACCACAACTTCTAGGAGAGCTGCCCCTTGATCTTCAGGATGAGCTGTCATGTCTATCACAACATATGTGTCATTTGTACCTCCGTAACTTGGATAACACCAAAGTGACTTTTCATATCCACCTTCTGACATAAAAGCTTCATCAATGGCATTTTTGAGGTCAGGGACGCATTCAAGGTCCGTACTCTTGCTGGAGTGTGCGGGCGACGAATCCATATTTCCAAAACCATTCAAGTTGAGAACGTAGCTTCCTTTAACGAGAGAATCTGATACTTTAGTAGTGTTATAAGAGCAGCAAAAGGAAGGAAAGGGTGTTGGCTTGACGCTAACAATGTCTGGGGGATCACGATATGTAGTTGTAGCATCACGGAGGGCGAGGCCTTGAAGAGTAGTAGGGGCTGGTGTAATTTGTGCTGAGTAAATTTCCGGGTCACCCATGGCTGTAGTCGAGAGAGCCGACAAAAAAAGCAGTAAAGGTGTGTAGATAAACATGTTTTGATGGATGAAAGTATAATGTATCGAAAGTAAATACTTGATGTAAAAGCGAGTGTCTAAATAAGCATAAAATGAAAGTTAATCACTTGATATTTTCAGATTGCACAACCAAGTTTATATAAACAATCGCGAAGCAAAAAGAAGCGCTTTCGACAGACTTACTATTGGCCGCCAAGCTTACTGGATCTCAATTGACGCGCTAGTAAGGCGATGTTGGAATGAAATCCTGGGGTATCGTTGAAGTCGCTGCGGCCATCTGCTGAGCGGAGGAGCAATGACCTTAACAATTGATGGAGCCTAAATTTCATACGAACAATGAATTGCGCCAATTTCAGGTAAGCGTAAATGAGCGGCTGAACAACTTCGACATGTAAATTAGACGCCTGATTTGGAGTCTTTTTGAAACTCCAATAGTATTTGGATCCTCAAATGTAAGTACGACTGCGCTATGTAACGACCTATGACCTCATCGATCGATCCAAACATGAATGTGCAATTCTGATTGCAGAGCATAGGCAAGGCAACGGCTTTCGCTGCGTTGCATCGCATTCTACATTGGCTATCAGTCTTCCAGTGAATTTTTGGTAGAGTTCTGAATGAAGCTAATCCGCTTGCACTATCCCTCATGATCTCCAATCCATCATCAGCCAACGAAGTATGCATTGAATCTTGTGTTGGTGATTAGGGGGCTTGATGAACGATGTTTCTCATTCACGACTGAGTGGAATGATTAGTGAATAAGGCTCTTGCTCTCGGTTCCTGTGTATGTTTATGTAGTGTTGATCCGTTGAAATTCACAGTCTAGTTCTGGAGATAATTGAGTCTCCTTACACAAGAGTCATTTATCTGTCATGATTTAATCAGTCTCACAAGTGTATTCCATCTTCAAATCCGGCCGGTGATTGACGAGAACTCCTATATTCAAAATAGTGTGTTTGTGATCGCCGTAGACTAAATGAGGATTACCGAGTACTTTTGCAATCTGACTGCCTTTAGGAAGTGACGCACCATCCAATAGTTTAATGTGCTGATGGACGATATGGGTGATCTTCAGTGAACTGATTTCGGGAATATTGATTCAATATGTGAATAGATCTGATGCGACTAGGAAAGCTAAATGAAGGCTCTCAATGAAAGGGAACATTATCTTCGTCAAGATCGGCTTGGTTATGCTCGATTTGCTACCTTATTGAGGTTGCCAGAAAGTCTCACTCACCGTAGAATTTCCATACTCAGATGAAGCAAACACACGAACGGAAAACTTTGCGATAAGTATCGCAACGCTTGTTGTTTTTCTATCTTTAGGTCTCCCAGAATGAGTCGCGCTTTGTGAATCTTGGAATCCAGAAGAGTTATTGGTCTTATGAAAGTCATCCAACCCAATTGCTCAAACTAATACGGCTACTTTTGATAATCTTCTTGATCTCACCTCATGATTATCGGGTCATGTAGTCATTGACTGATAAACAACATTGGTAGAACCAGCCCGAAGAATTCGATAGGTAGGCTTCAATCACTGGCTCAGCTTCATACGCCCAAACAGATATTGAGTAATCATTACTACAGGCTAGGAACTGAGCTTTATGAATCAAGAAAGGGTTGAATATGGTAGTGCATTGCTAGTGTATTGCTACCACCCATCTTGGCGTTATTGCTGTTGATGTTCCAATACGTTTGATTATAAACCACGGTAATCTAAACGACGTTGCCTATACAAGAACTATATGTGATGAGACTTTGATTCCTGGGAACTGAAAAACCACTTGGTCATGAGGTGGCTCTAGCTTTCTAGAGTCTAGACTCCAACAGTTTGTCTTGGGGGTGCTCTATCATAGTATATTACTAGTGGGAGTCTAATCCCTAGTAGTCCGTTGAGATATTTCCACGGGAATTTCCAAACTCTGGTATCTAGCAATCTGGGTTAGAAACATTACAAGACTTCATCAATCGCTCATCGATACCCCAATAATATGTTATTAATACCTCAGACAATGAATTCATTTCAGGGTATGACTTAGTGCTCGAGATTGGGCTGAACATCTTGAGATCTGTAAACCTATATTCAGAAATTCGACCTAAAAATTGCAGTCGTATTGTTCTTTCCATAGCTTATGCAAAACTCAATGGCGCAAGGCCGGTCTGAACAGTCTATACCATATTTGGGTGTGAAAATCCTGAAATAAGACCGATAATACTCACTCAATTCAATAGTAATATAGTAAGGCATGCCATTATGACCTCTGGTCTTCTGATTGTATATCAGGCTTTAGTACTTGAATGGGCGAAGACACTTCCTGAGACTTGAAGTGCGAGATTGAGCCATTAAGAAGGTCAACGAAAGAGACTATGACTAGCCATCGCCACAATCCGTGAACGATGATTTCAATGGACTGTTTCTTTGCATCAAAATTGACACTATTTGTTGCAGGGCAAGTAAGCTGACCACTATCTTTACTTGCGTATCGAGTTGGCCTCCAACAATCTGAGGGCAATAAGTCAAGTCTTGCATCGTCCAGGAACCATCAAATTTACCACTGACTCTGAAATGAGTCGATCAGCAATAATTCACGAGAAGAAAAATCCTCATCTTGTGCCATGCTTCGATTGGTTCGTTTCCCCTTTGGTTCTGCAAATTATTCATTTTGCTTGAGCAATATGGGAATTCTGAGGATCAGTTCTTCGAAACTCTGCAATGATCTAGGGATCTAAGTATTATCCGAGAAATTATGGCTATTCACTTGATGTCTAGATTAGACTGTTTTGAATATGCAAAGTCTGCCAGACTTTATGAAAATGCAGCGGCGATGCTTCATTCCTGTCTTATCTGATGGAAAAGAGCATAAGGAGAGACTATTCCGACTAGATGTGTAGGGAAACTGCTTTGAACTCATATCTAATTGTCAATAAAAAATTCATACATCAATCTGCTTCAAGATCTGAATAAGGCTAAAGAGTCGCTTAGAATGATTGGGGCGAGCAGGTACGCTCTGAGAAGTTTTGGCGAAGAACGCAATAAGACGTTTTTCGCTAGTAGCCCGAGCCCCGTCGCGTTCGAAGATGCAGCGCGTCTTGTGACTGAAAGGATACAACTGCAAATGATCATAACGCCCTTGGGGATGGTGGCTGCGAGGCACAGTTAGTTGCATCATGATCAACTTTATGTGTAACATGGTATCTGACCCCAGAAGATACATCAAATGAAGTGACACCGCGTCCTCAAAAGAATTCCAAGCACAAATTAAGGATTACTTGATGACTCTGATGTATAAAAAATACGAGGGCATCCGTCGACGCATCCAGACCCGAGAGCAACTCGATCTCGGTCACCAAGGCAAAGTAAGTATACTAGAGTGGGCAGGGTTTTCGCACAAGAATAAGCGAAGCGTGAAGAGAGAGCATTCCATGAAATGTAAATTCATACATTTTGAGCCAGCGTCGCTGCTCGTAAGATCTTCATCATTGATACTGCCGATCTATCAGTAGTCTTCCACAGAAGTGGGGTTGGTGGGGTTACATGGTGGGGTTGAGAGATATTTCATCATTCCTCCACCTTGAGATGTAATAGCTCGGAATCCTACTATCCAGGCTCGCGACCCGGAGAAAAAGCCAGACGTCAAAATTCTACACCTCAATCAAAATTTAATATCAAAACAAGAAAACTTTATTTCTTTGTAAGGTCTTTAAAATCAATAACTTATCATAAAAAAAACTCGTTCTATATGATTTCAAAAGAATTTATCTTGAATTTTGAAAACACCCTTTCTAGATTTTCTTCTACCTTTGCGGATGTGATATCCGGCTCTTTCTCCGGATCGCGAGCCAGGTACTAAATTCCCCCTCCCCCACGTTTAAAAAGCCACGTCTTATCAAAGTCTGCTTGTCCCTTCATTTTCATATCGATCAATCAAATAAAACCAACAACATACCAACGAACATAATCGAATACAAACACAATGGCCGATACAAGATTCAAGCTCAATACCGGTGCTGAGATTCCGGCATTAGGACTTGGTACATGGCAATCTGAGCCGGGCGCAGTCGCGAAAGCCGTTTCTTACGCACTGTCAATTGGATACAAACATATCGATTGCGGTATGACCTCCTTCTATTTGCCTTCTGCTCTTTACCTTCTACTTTCGTAAATGTGGGGGTGTGTGTAATACTAGCTAACGAACTCGTGCAGCATATGTCTACGGAAACGAAGAGGAAGTAGGACAAGGACTCAAGGAAGCTTTCGCATCCGGAGTTAAGAGAGAGGATATCTTCATCACCACCAAATTATGGTGTACATATCATACACGAGTCGAAGAGGCTCTTGATAAGAGTTTGAAGAGGTTGGGACTGGATTATGTCGATTTGTATTTGATGCATTGGCCAGTTCCTATGAACCCAGATGGTAAGCGGATTTCTTTCACTTACCCCGTTACCCCTTCATTTTCATCGCGTAATAATGTCTAACATCTCAACTAGGAAACCACGAATTGTTCCCCAAACATCCCGATGGCTCCCGCGATCTTCAAACAGAATGGTCCCACACCCAAACATGGCAAGAACTCGAGAAAGTCTCCAAAACCGGTAAGACAAAGGCTATCGGAGTTTCCAACTACAGTGTAAAAAATTTGGAAGAATTGTTTTCGAAGGCTACTATTACCCCAGCCGTCAACCAGATCGAAAATCATCCTTCATTGCCTCAGCAAGAAATTTACGATTTGTGCAAGTCGAAAGGAATCCACATCACAGCTTACAGTCCTCTTGGAAGCACTGGTAGCCCATTGTTCACCGCTGCCCCAATTGTTGAGGTTGCGAAGAAGAGAGATGTACCACCAGCTTCAATATTGCTTAGCTATCATGGTAAGACTCCTTGAATATGCGACTGCCGTTGTAAGTCATGCTAATAAACAATAGTTGCTCGGGGAAGCTCGGTCCTCGCCAAGTCCGTCACTCTTGATAGAATAAAGGCAAACATGAACATCGTAAAATTGGACGATGCGGACATGAAGATCTTGAATGATTACTCAGATGACCTGACGAAGAATGGAAAACTCATGCGATATGTATTCCCGGCATTCGGTGTTGACTTGGGGTTCCCAGATAGAAAGCCTTAGTTAGAGAATTTGAGCTAATATCAAGGAAGGTTCCTTTAGGTGGGAATTGGTCAGAAGAAAAACTAAAACCCATGAATCGAAGTTTCGCAATCTGTACATGGTAATGTATATAGAAATTAGAATATAATGGAGAGACTTGTTAAGTACATTACTCTTGGGACTGCCTGCTCTTCAAGCTTCCTCTAAACGCCGCAACCAATAAACCATCAATATCATGACATGACTCTCTTTTTATGTGGGAATCGTGAAAGAATCTGATAACCGACTAGTGGAAATATTGAATTTATTTCTTTTTTGAAAAAGCGGGTGAATGGTTAACAAGTCGAAGTGTCTGCAGAAACTCAATAATTTTGATGCCTAGAGAATGCTCAGGTAGTGGTTTAACGCTTGGCCCGAGTACTCGGATATAGAACCCCCCAGTAAACATACCTAATCCAGTGCATCGGAGACGGTAAAGTCAAATCCCGAATAGGCCGTAGGATAGAATTCTTGAAGGATTCTTGAGGATCGATCGGAAAGGTTTCTGGGTGAGGAGAAAGTGGGGTGGGGTGGAGATCTTAGGAGGCTGAGTGCAGCGGTAGCGGGTTGATTTGGCGGTCACAACATCAAGAAATGGAATGAGTTTATGCTGCTCAACGGATGAGGAATTTCAAATCTTCCGGGCAATTAAAAAAAGAACCATGAAGTAGTGGCGATGGTTTAAATTTGAAGTTTTGTATGAAAGCTATTGTTCAGGAGAGGGACGTGGCACAATAATTCAGCCAGCATAACAACATTCGGGATGGACGACATATACCGAAAAGCACAATCAAATGATGAGATTGCGTCTAGGTCGTAGAGGGGATGAAATCGTCTAGGCAGCTATTAAAACGACGATTTCTCCACTCAGGTCTCAAAGAATGATATAAACAAATGGAGAAGTTATGAAGATATACAGCTGAGCCGCATCAGATGCGTGGCGGCTGTTGTTCGGCCATTAGACAGTGATGCTAAAAATAAAGAAGCTTGACTTGTGGTGATCTGACGCCAGCACTATGTTTTCTTCTTACTTGCATATCTAATTATTATAGGCTATTTACACGATAGACCTGTACGCAACTCTTTGATTAGTGGCACCATTCATGCCAGGACAGCCGCAGAAATAGCTGCATATATTTCACGTGATGTATGAACCAACCAATCGATGTCGAAAACTCGGCAAAAAGTCAACCCAACGAAAAGTCTAGCTGTCAGTTTGTAGCTTGCTGCAGGGAACAATCCTGAAACACATACAAGACACGACAATAATTGAGCTTCGAGAACGGCTACGAGAAATTTCAGTCAATCATATTATGCCATACCGTCTTTTTGTACGGTGGGAACAACCGGGAGTTGAATCCTTCATCGCGTGGATTAAAGGCGGGGAAGCGCCAAGGTTAGAGTGCTGATGCTGTTAATGGGGTGTTGTACATGCCTAAATGCCCTATCTAATTTAAGAATAAGCTTCTCTTCAGGGCTGTGGGATCCCGTCCAATATTGAACATATTTTTCACGTCAGTTGTGGAAGCAAAGCTTTCCAGAATGTTGCAGCTCCACAAGTTATTTAGTCACAATTTGCATAGGGAGCAGTGGGAGCCTTTTCTTTACATAGAACGCTAGTCATTTGGTCGCTGGGTCGGCCTATTAAAGTTCAATGGGCTGAGGCTGAGTTAGATATGATTCATCAGTTTGCTGATGCGTTGTCTCAGTGAGTGAAGAACAAATGGGCAAGTATTGATGCGGCACGACATGGTTTTGAATGGGGTTACTGGAGAAAGATTCGAAGAATGGATACGTCGTGCAACTATGAAGCTATTGATTGGTTACAGCTTAAATAGGTATTGTTTGGGATGCGAGGCTTCTTTTACACAGCCGTTGTTCTCTTTCTTTTGCTTTAAGATCTCTTCATTGTTGATCCCTTATATATAGAGAGCTTTCTCTATTTGTTACTTGCGAGGTGTTCTTCAGAAGCTCCATATATTAAACCTTATCTTGAAGTGTAGTTATATCATTCTTTGCACACCATGACGAGCCAACATCCTTATGCCCCTTGGCGGAGACTGATCCTGATACCTTGCTGGATCGTTCAAATTCTTTTCCCCGGCTTGACTTTTGGGGTAGTTGCCGTGGCTATTGCTCAAATCATGAGTAATGATTTCGATGATGATAGTGATGACAACGATGTCCGGATTGCTCTAAGGTAAGCATATCTATTCTATAGCTTGATACTGGGCACGAATATTGACAGAATCTAGCATTGGATGGGTTTACATTGTATTCATTGGCTTGTGTGTTATCCTCACTATTGCAGAGATAGTCCTTATGTTCAGACACAAGCTGAAGCCTATTGTTTTCCTCATGATGAACATATTCAAATGTGCAAGCTGGACAGCCTTGTTCGTTGTCAGCTTGTGGAACGCTTTCGGTGTCGTTAAGAAGACGATGCCGAGCATTATCAGCTTGATTTTTGATATTATCATATTGTATGTCTATTTCCCGTTTT